TCCTTTATAAAAGGATCATAATATACACGTTTGCCATGTTTTCACAACCATTATAGATGATAACGCCGAAACATAGTAATTATGTTCCTTTTGTGAATGATAACGACAATTATAATCATAATAGTGTGTAAGTGCGTACAGTAAATATTTACATTAAATGGGGCTATGTTGTTTCACTTAGACAGTTGAGGTGGGGGGAGGGGGAACTAAGAAAAATAATAGGCCTGTAGCAATTGGAACGTCACAAGGAGCGGGAGTTCCACACATTGGTGTTAAAATAGGGGCTTATCTTTCAGGGATGCACGTCATAGTAATGTATTTTGGAGTAACTCACTCGTATATTTTGTATGTTTGTTTTGCCTGATAGAACCGGGGAGATTAAAATTGTTACGCGTTTGTACATTAGGTTTCGTGAATGAAAAGACAGCCCATGCAGTTTGCAATAAAATTGGCACGGTAACACGCACTTTTTGCATGTTTGAGCTTATCATTAATAGTTTACTGTTCTTGTACTGTTACATGTGTGGAATATTGCTGAAGGCTATGTCTGAATACAACAAGTTTGTGCTGCTGTCTTTCAGATATTATAAGTATCAAGACATTGAACATGTATAAGTGAGATGTCAGCTTCTCACAGCAGCAAATATGAAGTTGTCTGACTTATGGAATGTTGCGCCGTGTAGTTTCTTAGAAATTGACCGACGTTTCAGAGGTGCTTGCTGCCTTTATCGTCAGGACGATGAAGATTTACACTGATGATGGAGGAAGTAAGAACCTCTGAAACGTCGGTCAGCTTGTATGAGACTACATGTTACAACATCCCAGGAGACAGTCATCTTCATTCAACTAACCTGCACATTAATAAATCAACCGAAAACTTGGTGTGAGGCAATGAATTCAGAATCGAAAATAAATCAAAACGAACTTGATTACAATTATCTGTAACGTTTACAGTTTTAGGAAGATTGAAATGCCTAAAAGTGTTTAGTATTAGAACCAGTATAATTTAAATATGTTATTTAACTGCTGTAAAATGCAAATTCCGTGATGAGATCATAATAATTCTGTTTCCCAGCTGAGGACCACAACGTAAGACAGTTACATAGGAGTTAATCATTGTCCCACAACCATGTCAGTCTTGTTTGGCATAACTTATGAGTACTGTAATGTAGCAGTCTTTAGCTAATCACAAGCCTTTTCAGTGCTTCGTAACATTTCTTGACCATTAGGCACGGCAAACGAATTCTCTTCAGTCACCATGCATATCACTGAACGCTTTCCGTGTCCTTTCTCCAAGTCGTCAGTATTCTTCCTCTTCATAATAATCATCTTCGTCCTCATGTTCACTGTACAACATAGAAGTTAACCCAACAAATTAATTACATTAAATGAATCAGTTTGTAGGCGCATCTTAAAAAGCCATACAGTTTAGTCAGTAACGAAGTACATACGTCAAGCAAATTACGTATTCTGTGGCATAATCCATAAAAACAATATGGGCTTAGTTATGGAGCATTTATAATAGGAAAGCATACGGGATAAAATATTATTTCCGCCATTTTTACTTTCTGCCAGATAACGTGTTAAAAGGAGTGTACTTTATCTACGATTTTGACACTTCTGACATTATAAACGATGTAATTTACAATCAGTTCTTTCTGAAGAAAGTCTGTAATTGTTTCTACAAATGAATGAGAATTATTTCTTTGTCTACTGATAAATATTTCTCATGGTAGTCTTTGATGTATGCTGACTTCAGATCAAGTACTTCTAAGTTTATCTGCTGTTATTTGTAGTTAGTGCAAGAAAACTTGGATGTTATAAAATTAAAGGTATTTATGTCTTTAGAAAATAAGTACGTTTTATTTTGCGTTAGTATGAAAATACCACAAGGCATTGACTTTCGAGCTGATCTCGTCCACAAAGCAGTCTCATATGAGCATAATTAATTTTTCTGTGAGACTGCTTGGCAATCGTAACTTGGAATGTTCCATAATCTTGTTCTTCTTATGATATACCGAGCAAATCTGTTACGAATTTGGGATTTTTTAGGAGGCAAATTAAAGGAATATGTAAGTTTATTTCATAATTATTACATGCCGATTTGTGTAAAATAGTCACAGTTAAAAAAATGGCCCGTATTAGTCAAATAATTGAGGGCCTTAACAAGTTTGGTAAAGAATAATTTAGTTCATTAAATATTCTTTATAAATTGGCTGCAGTAATACTTTTTAAAACGCCAAAGGTCAATTCTGTACATTCGACATTAAATTTCATGCAGAATCTCATGTCTTCAAGAGTTTATTGAGTGCACAAATATTTGAAATACAGAATGCGACCATTAGGCCTACATATTGACATCCCACTTTCACCACACACCATCTATAGTAGTCATTAATGAGGTACAAGGCATATCCTCTTATTTCCTCTTACCCTCATTCAGAGGGAACTGTGGAGTGAGCTTAAAGTAGGTGTTCAACATTTAGGTCTCGTCCCTTATTTAGTCGGTTAAATGGCCCACTGAATGTTAACACATTTACCTGCCTATCCGTATCCAGGGCATCATGCCAGGAGGGCGTATCAACAAAATGGCTGGTTTACAAGAGACCAAATTCTTGGTTTGACAACTGCGCATTTTTTTGTCAAAACGCCAAAATGCAACTATCTCTGTATATAACACTGTCAGAGTAAGTCTGTTCTGGCATGACGTATTTTCCACAGATAGAGGGTTGGCGAGACAGCTGTGGTGGCGAACTTGAGCTTTCTTCTACTGTTTCCGCGCAACATGACCTTTCACCTGAGTTGTACAGCACAGACACTCGTTTTTGTCATACCTGCGCTTACTCACAGCTGTTTTGGCATGTGGTAATAGTGGCGGGTGGTAGACTAAAACTGCCTCGCCATCTCAGTCTGCGAACACTACATCCCACTATTTTATGCTGTTAGACCAAATATCTCCGATTATACAGATATGGTGATACACACATCTGGCATGATGCCTCGACATGTTTGTGTTCATCGCTCTCAGTATGAAACTATTGACACATTGGTAAACTATACTGCAACATCATTGCAGTTGCAACATTCTTTTAATTTCGCTACATTTTGGATCACGTAAGTGACATGCATAATATTACAAAATTTGTTTTTATTGTTTCCTGGCTATAATTATCTATGGTATCTGTTTTATGTGACAAAACATGCATTATTAATAAATATTTACAGAAATACATTTGCATATAACATAGGTATAATGACATACATATAGAAAGTTGAACATAAGAGGTATAATAACTTTTATGTTTTGTATTAATAGGTTTAAGTACATCATCTAAAAAGTACAAATTATGTAGTCACTACTCAGTTTTTTTCAATTAATGTTATCATTCTGAGCGCTACAACATTATTATAGGGTGGTCCGGTAAATGATATCCAGTTGAAAGTGTAAATAAAAGCCTCAATATTCATATAGTAATACAATATATCTATGAACACAAAGAACAATTCACCGTAGATTTGTCCTTTATGGATTGCATGCTCAATATGTCCACTGTTCTGTCGTGTAACGTTCGAAACACGAACGGCTATGTTCGTGATTACTCGGCGACATATATCTTCCGTAATTTTACCACGTTTGAACACCCAAAGCTCTGAGTTGCATTATTGAGGCTGTTTTTACACAGCTTTTCCTTAAGGTAGTCCCAGAGTTTATGTCGCAGGAGTTTATTCCCGTTCTCTTGGGTAGCCACCGATACTCCTCGCCATGGATGTGGACAAAAGTGTGGTCATATGTGTGGTGAAATTATGGAGGACGTGTGCCGTCGAGTGATCACGAACGTAGCCGTTCGTATTTCGAACGCTTCGCGACAGAACGGTGGTAATATTGAGCATGGAATCCATAGAGGATAAATCTCAGTGAATTGTTTTTGTATTTGTAGATTATTACAATAATTCTATAGCTTTTATTTAAACTTTTAATCTGGTATCATTTCGCCCGCCAATCTGTAAGATAAATGCTAAGTTAATGTTTTTTGCCTTGAATTCTGACCAGCAACTACCTAAGATCTGCGAAATTAAAATAAATCCGACTGTTCAACTAATTTATTTTAGTTCGTATTAGTCTATGCACTGATGATAGTTGCCCGATATTTTAAAGCAGAATGTAATGGTCGTGTAACTGAGACATAATGTATTATTTCCTCACACTGCTTTGGGAACATATTGTCCTCCAATCAGATGCACAATTAAAGGGGTTACAGACTATAAATACAGTAAGAATGATGCCTAGGATATTTAGCTTATTAATAATGTAGGAAATGAAATATTGAATTTTATTTTTTAAAGCGATTCAAACTATATCTACAATTTTTAACAGTATCTCAAAAAGACGGCTTAATGTGAAACAGGTAAGACGATTTATTATCACGCTGAGATCAAAATTCGTATAAAATTTGAACCGTTTATTTGGTATGTAATTGCATCATAAATATTCGGAAGTACCCAGTCTGAGTATCACTCGGATCGGCTGTCCCGAGACTGAATTACTCATTATTGCTTTTAGTTTTTCCAGGAAAATTCTGGTATAATACCCTCGAAGTAAGATCTAATAGCCTCCTCTATGTTCACTTTCGACTCACCGTTCATAATCATCTTCGCGTCTCATTCGACGCTACATAACTTCAGAAGTTGTTACAGCATCGTTAAAGAACCTGAGAAACAAACAAACATTATTCTGAATACGAAAGTGAATGCTGTTACATGGTGCGCCTGTGGAAATGGTTCAGTAATTGCTGCACAAATAATCCCTGAATTAGTATGGAACACCAAAATTATTTTAAAGTAGAAAAATGTTTAAAACATCGAGCATGTGGCCAGACTTCCTGTTCTCACTGTTTAGTTTTATGGGTCAAGACCGCGTTTCAGCGTTGCTTTGACGCAAATCGCGAAAATAATCGAGTACAGAGACGTTTGTGTGAATGATGGAGCTGCACTGTGGCCCGTATCAGTACAAAGTGTGTGTAAAAATTCGATCCATTGCGAGCTTTTATGTTGGGATATGTCGAAAACTATAATATGCTGTATCAACTTCTGAAGTTTGCACACACAGTCTGCGGGAGAGAGACAATTGCTAGGAGAACCAAGCAGGTCACGAGATGATCGGATATTGGTATGTCGATGTGGTAAATATAAATCCGATGTATGCTAACACTTTTCTACTCCACACTAAATGTGATATCTGTACAATTACTCGCGTTTAATTTGTGAGTGGGACGTACTCATTTTGTAACAATCCTTTTGTTTTTATTTTGTAAAATAATCTGATTGATTCGTTATCCGCCCTGGAGGGTTGCCGGCTTTAAAGGATCACGTTTCAGCCGTGAGACGTCCTGTAATTGTGATGTTTATAATTAATGGAACACCTGACAGTACAAAAGTGACACTTCGTTTTGTATACATACTTACTCTTCCTTGGGTGGGTACTTGTCAGCGTAGGACTTCCTGTTGCATGCTCGACTACAACTAGGGCAGTACCAGTAGCTTAGCACGCCAATGGAAACGCCAAAGAGGACGTTCGGTACGACAAGTGACAGTATCAGATGTCTGAGGTTCTCTTCCCAGCTGTATCTGGCCACCACCATTTCTGGGTATGTACGGCTGTAGTAGCAAGGGAATGGCTTCATTAAGTTCTTGTATCCGAACTCTTTAGCAAACTCAGAACAGTTGACTCTCGGTGGATAACCACACCCTTCTGTGTTCACGTAAAACTTAGTGTCTCCTACATCCCATGCCACGTTGTCCGTACTTCGATTTCCCCATTCACTGAAAGGGACACGAGTGTAGTTAACTAGGATCTTGTGACAACGCAAAGCTGCAGTAGTGCATCCCTCTCGGCACGAAGACCAGGAACAATTTCGGAGGCCTTCTTCGTAAGTGTGGCTTACCGAAATGCATGTAACGGCGTAAGGATTGTAATCGGACATTATAGTTGAAATCGCGGGATCCACGACAAATGGTATGAGGAACAGGAAAGCGAATACGGATACTATTGCGGTAGTACCAAGACATAACGAAGTGTAAAACTTGGCCTTTTCCATCAAGGTTACAACGTCAGTGGTAATAATTCCTCCTCCACCACCCTCAGCCCCCATGATGATGGTTGACTCGTCTGGATCAATGGTGACGGTTTAATAAATTCACGCGCTCATCTAAATATAGCCAAACAGTAGGTTTAATGGACCAAAGCTTTACTACAAATGCCTAAATATAAATTTTATTTTGTCTGAAAAATTAGCGTCTTCGGCAAGGTATTTCGTAGTTGATGTTACGAGAGGTGGCTGGGGTGTTGTGGACTGTCTTCAGCTACTACTTGAGGTTGTCTACAGTTTTACAATGTATTTATTAAGAAGCGAATACGAAGCAGCTCTCACCTGTAATTATTCACGAAGTTCAGTTTACAATATATCCAACTGAAATTTGTTCACTTTTACTTCGAATATTAACAATATTTTCAAGAAGTTATTCGGATGTTCTGCCTTTGTTTTCTTTAGCCATTACTTTGCAGGCACCTAATACTATGAATTATCCAAAGTACTACTAATATAATATGTATTCAGAAAGTCTTTTTACACTTTTAGAAAGATGTCAGTATTAATTTTTTCGACGAAATTCTCTTTTATCCCGCGTTCCCCTCCTAGATGTGTGACACTCTGAGTTCTGTACCTACAAGTTTATTATTTTTGTAGGATGTCGCCCAGTGACATTGTAATACCCTGGCCCCATATAACTGTTTGGTAATGTTATCCGCAGTTGTTATGCACCGCGTGCTAAGTATAATACAGTAGTAGAGATAGAGTTGTTATGTTGTAAGAAGAAGTAATCTTAGCTAGTAGTCGTGGTGTATTTAGCGACGTTAGAAAGCTTTTGGTGCGTTTTCGTGCGGAATTTGTTTGTGTCTTCTTTATCTTCAGTAGTCCTGAAGCGGGAAGACGTGCTGGTGATGGACCGGGCTCTCTAGCAGGAGGGGAATGCCTGTCGACACAAAGCAACGAGATTACAAATTCAGTGGGAACATAGCACAATTCAAACTGCCACAGATTGTCTGTGATATCCACACATTACCACACATAACAGAGTTTCATCCTTGTAAGGAACCGTTGGTTTATGATTCACAGAATTGATTTGCGTCATCTATAATGAACCTGACGCGGAACCTGCCGTGACAGCATGCCGGGATGAATGCGAGTGAAATGAGTAAGTCCCAACGCACAACGTATCTGTCGCATGCTGATAGGTGCGTTAAAAATCATGTGGGGACTCTGTATAATATATAATACCACATAATTTATTAATTCCATAGGACAAGATCTTTTTGCTGATAAAGTTGATAGCTACTCAGCGGATCAAGTAATTTATTACCTTTATGAAACGCTAAGGTTCATAACCGTGTTCAGAAAAGCCCGACGTTGACTCCTGCCCTGATCAGTTGAGTCGATTCCATGTCTTTAACTCTATTTCTTTAAAGTCCATTTTAATATTGCAAATGTATTCAAACTCAGGTCTTCCATTTGGTTTCTTACTTTTTTTGTCAGTTCACAAAATATTCCTGTAAACTATCGATGTCTGCTCAACAAAAGACGTCTGAGACTTTCAGGACCGTTTTGTGGTCTATCGTATTTAAATTTAATTTATAATTTCATATTTGCACGTATCCCGAATTCACATTAATTTCGAGGAACGGATCAACAAGTATACTTGAAAGGCTCGTACTGTACGTACTTGAACATTGAACATTGACATTTCATGTGAGGGATGCAGCATTACTTTGAAGCACCATTGTGTTCGATGTATCTCTTACATTAATCGTGTGTGTTGTTTCCCATTTCATGAATTATATTTAATTATATATATATATATATGATATTTCCGGTGGTGGCGACGAATTATCGCCTTGATGATAGAAACAGTGTGTAATTCTGAAACGTCTGTCAATGTATACTAAACTGCACGACGCAACATACTAAAAGACAACTGTCTTTGTGGGGATTGGGGGATGTTGAGTATTATTTATGCGCGTGATAAAAAGTTTCCATTGAATTATTTTTTCCCTTTAAGATTAATAATGTCCAGGTCACAAGTGCGTACCACTTCTTTCTGGGAGATTACAGCGCCCTGGCGAAAGTAAAACTACGTGTGTTAGTAGTTCTTTGTCTTGGTCAAAATTTTGTTGGCGTGAATACGGGTAATATGTAAACACTTAGGTTTAATTTCATTTATAGGCTGTCTGTACATTTTGATTCAGTTGTGATGAAGAAGCAATATTATGAAGTACTACAACATCCCGTCTTCTTGCAGGGCGTCAGTTATGCCGACATTCAATTAGCGAAGTAAAATCTCTTATCAGTTGTACAAAAATTATTCAAACAGTCGACTAGTTCATTGCGATTCAGTCTGGTATAGCCATCTCTTTTGGGTTTTCTTATACGTCCGTCCTTTTTGTCTATGTTATATAATTTTCCTTCGTATCCGGTATCTCACCATACGCTATGGAAACTCTAACCGTTTTATATCACATTCGTCTAAGTCCTGGTTAATACTGTATTGCCTAAGTTCCGTCTGATCTTTTTTTTCCAGTTCTCAGCTTGTCTTTCCTTGTTACTCACTCTTAATTCTCATACCATTTTCATCGCTTGTAGGTGGTCTTATCTCTTGCCGTCGTTGTCCATACAGTCATACTGGTAATGCCTTTGTTACATTGGTCATAACTTAGCCTACTTCGCCAAACAAAATATGTTTCTGTCTAGAAAGCTCAATTATGGACTTGATCTTAACAGGTTTCAGGTTTGGGTATTTTCACATTTAAAGCTATTTAGACTGTCTGATGTTCCTTGGTTGGTCCATTCATTATCCAAGAGAATAATACGACACACAAAATAAAATTCTTGGTTTTAATGTTATTCGTAATGTTCAAAATTTCAAGCTGTTGCTTCCATGTGAGAATAATATTGAATCTAAACTGAGGATCAGAGGTGAGATCCCACATCAGTTGTCCTTCAGCACTTCTGAAATGTCGGGACAGTTTCCACTAGGCTACACGGCTTAACATCCCAGAAACCAGTCATCTTCATGCCTTAAATCTCACCATATTCATGACGATAACCAATTAGCATGTTCATATGACGTCGAATTGTCGCAGTGTGTCGCACTGTTTGTACTAAACAGAAGAGGTTGTCAGGCGCCCATGGCGTGCGTTGTGAGGCCACGCTACAATGCGGCAGATCGCTGTATCGATTTGCTCGGCTCAGTCACACAACCCAGTGTCCTCATTTCCCTTATTCCCTTATTACACAATCCCGTCGCGGTGCTCTTAACCGAGTGTCTCACGTTTACTTTGAACAAATTATAGAGTTCGGAAAAGTTACTGTTCTGACAGAAGTCCGAAACCAGGTTATTCTGACTGTGATTGCTATATTTTCATATAATGAAGGTCAAGGTCAGTTGTACACACCCTGTTTCTATCGGGTGGGTAGAAAGTTGCTGTTACACCCGATATGAGCTACCTCCATTATGGTCCAGATATAAAAATAAACAGTCGAAGTCTTTTTGCCTTGAGAGATTTGAGGTTTTTGGTGAAGATGTCGGTGTTGTACTGGGTTTTGACACCAGGTGGAGTCGTAAGTAGCTACGAACGTTACTGAAAAACATACCGTCGCCGTCTCCATGACTGAAGATGGAGGTAATTGTCTATGTTTTCCGCAACGTTGGTATCTACGTACTTACGAGTCCGCACGACGTCACAAACCACACCCTTCGTATTGTTAACAAGAGCCCGGCACTGAACCTCATCCTGAGGCAATGCTCTTAATAAGTTAAATGAAGAAAACTGGCGACCTAGTGCCGTTACAGACCTAAAATCAAAGTTGGTCCCTCATCAGTTTCTTCTGACGCGTATTCGTCTTAACATTACAAGCAACGCATCTCAAAGCATCTCGGCAAGAGATCGTATATCGTGCTTAACTGCGTGGCACTATTGTTTAAGAAATTATGGCGGGACCACGGCTATCCAGGGGTTTTCGTGACTTTTCTCAGTTCCTGCAACATATTCCGGGTCTATCTAAAAATGTACACTTCCGTTTCGTTGCACGCAGCATCTGACTCAGGCGTAAATATCATGTCCTTTCTCATTCGACTCCAAATAACCAACGAATTTAATAAGCACTGCCAAATATAGGCCCACCGGATAAACTAGATGATATATTGTTGACACAAATAGTTATCTTTCATAGATGCCATCATTTGGATTTTGTCTTGTCTGATGAAAGACGCGTTTCGGCAATTTCGTTATATTTGGAAACTCGAGGATGGTTTCCTTATTTTATTTTGGCATTAGCCTATTGAATGATACTGCTTCGACTATCAACGCCATGTAACATCGACTGAAATGTTTTTGAATGGTTTTAAATTGCATTTTTTTTTTTCATATTTGCCTTCCTCTTTCCCCCCATACTCCTACTATACTTGACGATTGCAATCGCAGATAAACGTTTGCAGTGCATCACAGACATGTTCCCTTCTGAAACGAAAGGAAGCTAGCGTAGGCCTAACTATTTTTGTAATCTGTGGGGAAAAACTACAAAGCAAGACAAACAAAGAAGCAATGTCCGCATTATTCCTCTCTGCCGTTTTTACCATTACGATGGGGTGAGACTGTGCCTTCGTCCCTCAGACGATAACGCGAGAGAGATTGAAGCAGCGGTGGAATTATATTGACAGGGGAAATCCGATGGGAGCGAACTTGGGCCTCCGTGGCGACAGATCGGCGACTTATTTTCACCTTAGCAGTGTGCGACCATACTTTATCCATGTCAGATGTTTAAAATATGTCTTGTGGCCCTTAGGGGTTCGTAAACCACAATATAGGAAACATTGTCGGAGGACCGTTCGTTCTGGTAATATCAGTGAGAGAAATTCAGAGCAGAATTTATCAATGAGTAAAACGCAATGAAAATTATATTTTCGGTTTGGGATGCTGCTATGGATACGAGCATCCCTGACGTCATTCCGTTTCTATGGCAACTGAAATGCCGTGGAGCACTGCGGCAAATTTGTGAGGAGGAGAGGTACAGCTGTGAACAAGGTTCTTTGAGAAGTAACGCCATGCTATAATCTGGGGAGAAATTGTTTCTTCCCTGATAGTAGACAGGAAGTCTATTAAATGGACATCACTTAATAAAAAAATAGGTATACTTATTTTAAAGACTGGATGTATTAAAGAACAGGCAAAGAAAACTTTGGTGCTGAAAATAGTCTATGTTTCTTGATATACAATTGAAAAGAATCAAAAGTAATACGAAAGAAGTTTACAGTTAACGTTAACCGTTGTTAATACACGCAAAGTCTCATATTCTGAGATGATATTTATCTCAGGGTGTGAGATTGTCGTGAGTTTGTAAGTGTGAGTTACGTGTAAGCGGAATGTTAATGCGGTAACAGGGATACCCAATTTGTTTCTCCGAGGTACTTTATACCACACATAGATGACATTACTAACTCATGGTGTAACTGGGACATTTGAATCCTTGTATCGGACATGTAAAACTCAATGTCTTCTAAGGACCGTTTGAAAAGAAAATTTTACTGTTCCGGGTCACATGCTTTTACTGATTCAAAACTAAAGTTTAAAACATATTTTTCGGTCTTCTTGTTTTTCCACAAGCATATAAAACTGTGAATCTCATTGACACACATTCCCACTTTATTCAATTTACGTAAATATTAAGCATCGTTACACAGGTACATATTTGAGACAGGCATTTAAAACCTGGAATTTATTAAAACTGGGACATCTTTGGGCCGCACATCGTACAGTTCGAGAAGTGAGCCAGGCCGCATAAAAGATCAGAGCGCTTTTGGGGGGGGGGAATTGCGATGCTTATTTTAATACAGCTACTACATAGCAACAATTTTTTTCTGTACATTGAACGACTAATCTGAGAAAAGAAAATATTTCATTGCATATTTGTGTAATATTTCTCCACTCATCGTCGTAGATATTGAACAAGTTCTTTACAGGGTATAAACTACTATTGGTGATGATGAATTTTGCGGAAATAAATTGGGTATTCGTGTTCGTAGGAAATGCTCAGCAAAGGCTAGGTCTGTTGTGCTGTGTTGTGATTTAGAAACTTGTGGAATCTTACGTGACGGATCTCAGAGTGCCATGACCGAGTCCCCCCCGCCACCGTCCCCGAGGTTGTTTGCGGAGACGCTTTTTTCTCCTGGAGCGATGATGAGATCGACGCCGCTGCAACCCTTGAACCGCATCTTGGCGTCATCTCCAACTTCGACGGTTTTCTGGCAGAATACAAGAATGAAGCAGGACGCGACGAACAGAACAGACGGCAGTATGCTTGCTATCAGGAAGTGCCGGTAAGTTCCCTCCAGATCGAAATGGGCAACGACCTTCTCTGGTTCAGATTCTGCGTAGAAACACGGGAATCGAGCTCGGGCATTGTGGTCGGACCCGTCCTTGCCATACTCCCTGAAGAAATCTCTGCACTCGTCTTTCAGAGTGTTGACGCAGCCCTCCATGTTGATGTGTAATTTGCTTTCGTTTTTTATGAGGAGATCTATTTCTGGCGGAGCTATAATTCTGTTCGGGTCCAAAAGATCTGTGTTCACTACGCTCAGGTAGTTCAAGTACGTGAAGTTGGCAAGATCTGTAAGAGAATCTTTTGACAAAAGGGATCCATTGATGCAGTCGCTAGCTATCACCCCTTGAGTGGTGTTCTCGATAATGTAACACGATGCTATCAGAATGTTCTCTTGATCTTCAGTCCATATTTCTTTCTTATCATCATCGTCTGCAGTCGCTAACGCCCTTTGGCACTGCGACAAGAACACCTTATCTCCACTGAGAAGGATCACGTTTTTGTTTCTGGTTGGTATGTCGACGCACCGTCGGTCACAGTTGTAAGGAATCCGAATTTTTTCGCAAGTCCCACGCACGCAACTCTGCAGACCGTCCAAGTCTATACATGTTATTTTTCCTCTTCTACCAGAACATTTGAGCGGAAGTTCTGTGTTCATAAACACACATTCGAAGGCGTCTGTGATGTTGATGCACTGCCCTAGTGTGCAGTTGAATGTACCAGTGAGGTTCTTGCATTCGTCAGCTATGCAACGACTTGACTTAGCATTTTCTTGATCGATACCATAACAAGTCTTGTTAGCACTGTTAGTACAATTCTCAAAAGTGAGCTCTGAACCATTTCGTCGAAGATTTACATAAATTTGTTCACACGCCCCAGAGCTTTTGCTCAGACACCATTCACCGCATGTCCCCCATTCGCAGTTATCGTTCTTAAAGTGTCGTGTAGTTGTGCACATTGCCGGCACTTCTGATATGCCTGACTGGAAGGCCCTCAAGGTTGGCATGTACACAGCTACTGTCAGGTACACTAGGGCCACGCTGCTTAGTACAGCCGTCATCTGGCACATGCATATCGTGCCGCAGATCCGATTGTCTTGTGGAGGAATGATCAGGTCTTCCGGCGGAATCGGCTTTTGCTTCGGCATTTTTAATCGACTTTAGTAATTACACCTACTTTATAAATAACTTCTCACATTAAAACAAGAGGGTGATAGTCTGCATTTGTCAGGAATATTAACACATTCATGCAATGTTAAGTACGTTGTTACTGTGTTATTTGTTTTAAAAGTATCACTTTGTGTAAAATAATAACAAATTACAAATCAGACATCCATCTCCATGCTGCTGACACCATAAGTACAGTGTTATTCTAGGTGGCCTTGAGGTATCAACTGTCCTTTCCTAGGTATCATTGTTTATTAAAATATTTTTATGTGGGCCGTTAGAACGTACCTTACGTGTTAGAGCATTTTCCGCCTTACGAACTTGGAGCGGTAATGGAGCAATCTATAGGCAATAGCAGACAAGGAGTAAAGAAAAATTCAATCCACATTGCTGTAATGCTCGGTACAAGCAACTGCACTTTCACGCACACGGTCTGATTTGTGAAACACTTCGGATAAATATAATCAGATAATGAAACAATTGTATTATTGTATGGTTAACATTGATGTCCAACGATATTTTAGATAAATTGCTTAACTGTCAACGTTTAATTTTACAATCGTGACAGTAAATATACGTATACGTCCCTCTTAACAAAAAATATATCCTTTTTCTAGGAAAGCTAGAATCTTCTTACGATTCCTGTCGAAATTTCTATTGTTAACTGTTAGGTGGCAGTAGTTGCCATAGACACATCACACCAAATCACAACACATCACAGTAGCACCCACCGCCAGTTCTGTGACATGGAGCGTCAGACTGAATGGGTTACGCCGAAAGCTGTGTTGCTGATACTTAGGCCTCCCTGCGCCTGTCTCCCTCTCTCTATACGATCAATACTGGCGTCGACGAGTCTCCGAGCTTCCAGCGTCTGCAGTAGCGGCCACTCGGTTTTTATTACGTGTTAACCGGGAAATGTGATCACATACTTGATTGTATCGCTGTTAAGACAGGTCATTACGTTTTGTTACAGCACGCGCGATGTCAGCCATTATTTCGCCGTCTAACTTTAACTCTGGAAAAATTTTGTCTAAAAAAAATTATGAGATTATTAGCGCAGTTCGTTGTATAATGCGTATTTTCGTTCAGAACTCTTCGCGTACGAAAAGGAGATGCTTTTACACGGTGATATTTGACTCAAGAGTAGTTTCTAGATTCCTTTTGGAAATTGAAATAGGCTGTATGGAAATTTTTTAAACGTGTGAATATTTGACGCATATAAATGACTTAAAAAATTTGGTCTTTGCTCTTACTAACTCTTTTCCTCGTTAACAATTATTTCAACTTATAATATAGAATATTTTCAATATTTTTGTGACATTTTCGTCTCGCTGCCAGTTCTATGTTATTATTATACCCTTTCAGTTTGATATATAACAGTTGTTCATAACCTGATAACTTTTCTTCCTGCAGGAGTTAATTAGCTTGTCAGCAACACGTCTCATAAACAGAGTAAAATCAACAAGAAAAATATTTATTTGAACTTTTTTTTTTTTTTTTGCTGTTCCTTTCGAGATGATGTATTAGTAGTATGAGTCATCAGGAAAATGCGCATTGCAGCACAGCTTGAACTAACTTGTATGAGCATATTCGATCCTGGTACCGAATGGAAGAGCAGTATCGATTCAGTCTTTGTAGTGCGTTATAGTAGTTTGTATTTAAATTAAGTACAGTTATTGCTTGAGATGTTGGTCTTAATTAATACTGAATTTTTTTGTGTAAGTTGTGGCCACGCGGTCTGGGGTATGGACCTCGTGCGCCTGGCCGCTGGGACCGTGGGTTCGAGTCCCACTCAAGGCATGGATGTTTGTCCGCGTCTTTCTGTGTTTGTATAGGTAGAAGCCTTGCGTCGTGCTGATCACTCATCCAAGGAGTCCTACCATTGTCCAAATAGATCAAAATGAATCAATAAAACCTCGACACTTACGGGTAAAAGAGGATGAGATAAAGAGAAAGATATCAACAGAGAAAAACAAATGTTATTTTACATAGTGCCGTAATCTAATACCCAGTTTACGCCAAGATTGCCAACTTCATCAGTAAGTTACAACTTACCAACGTATGGCTGAAGCTGGTGATTTATCCGTATGATTGGAATTGACAAATCTGCTTTAGTCAGCCAAAAATGTGTGTTCATTTGCTCTGACGGTAATAGAATCCATTAGTAGATGCTTTCCACGTACAGAACAGCGTTACATAAATGTATGGATTGTGAGACCATTTACGCTGAAAAAGAAATAGATAATCGAAGATAAGGATGCCAAGGCCAGACAGAATTCTTTATTTACGATAATCTAACACTTTGAAAGGAAAATTTCTAGATTCTGATCTCACACTATTTTGCCGAAGATTTGGCTTAGAATACACGATTCTCTCTGACAAAGCTCTCAAGCTTCTAATTCCATTTGCCACTACATATCACAAAGAGGCCGGTTTTTTGAACAGTGGTCAACATAAGAAAAAGCAAAGGAGTAAACTGAATCTCATTCATGGCTTGAGACGCTTGAGATGTTCATTTGCTGTGGCGAAACCTCGCATTTCTAAGTTATCCAAGCAGAGACATTGACAGTCTTCACACTCAAAAATTCATGTGATAAATGCGGTTTATGATGTGTGTTTGTTTTTTAAATAGCGAACCTAAATAAGTTTAAAATACAGCAGTGGATGTTAGATTTTGTTCACTGTAAAGTATTAGAAAATTGTTTGCGATAAAATGATTATTCGTGATTTTTCTTTTATATTTTGCGATAATACTTAACCTCTTTGGCATTAAAAACGGCGGAGAGGTGCCAAAGAGGTCAAGCACAACTCAATCTATAATACCTTCGTTATAGGTCTGTTTCTATTTTAACGTTGAATCGTGTATTCTTAAATTCGTTAGATCCATTTCCGAAATATTTATCTCTTTTCTTGGCCACATTGTCGACAAGAGATATTTAGGACGTTTCCAGTTTACTCCACCCCTGCCCACCATGCGTTCCCATTGCCTATTTTTCTTAAGTAGTCTTGCAAAAAAGAGTTTGCTTGTTCTTAATCAGAGTGTTCCGAAAATATGTATACACAACAGTATGGTTGGTCGCAAGGCTAAGAACCTTGCACCGTAAAAAGGAAGATGTTTCGAAATCTCAATCAAAGCCTCGGACAGACGGACCTAACAGAGGACTGAATGGAAGAGGAGAATTGAGGAGGCCATGGACCGAATACGGACCGGAGAGCCATAGAAGAAGAAGAAGAAGAGCATGGTGGTCGCTTGTCAGTCGGTTGCTCACCGCTGTCAGCTGTGCCACAAAGCTGACGATGGTCATTTTGAACACCTACACTAGATTCGCTAATTCACCAAGTGCCAGTACTGACTTATGCAATGTGTTAGTTTATTAAAATGTATTTATTTCATTCATTGAATGTGTAGACATGTTTTTGGGACATTCTGTGTATTTTTCCCATAAACCGTAAATCGAAATTTAATTTTCCTGAGCTATGCTCGAGACAGCCATTTTCTGCTTTTCTCCATTCAGGGTGTTAGACGTATGAAGGATGGAAATGGAAGACTGGACAGTCAATTAAACTGACAATCTTGTGGGAATTGTGCAGGCTTTGCAGGTTATTAATTCTTAATAAATTTAAGTAAGCAGTGCCCTCATAGGAGCGTCTGCCGTGTAGAGGAAATTGATTTTTGGAAGAACTGTGGTATGTTTGCTTAAAATAAAAGGCGATGCCATGTTAATTCCCTTGGCCCAGAGGTTCTTGATATTCCATGTTTCGACGTTGACGTGGACACATAGCATAAACCGCTTTCAGGCTTTGTCAATTTTTCGGAAAACTCGATTTGAAAGTTCGATAAGACAAGGGCGCCCTTATGTCTGGAATAGTATGGATTGATGTTTTCATGACGTCAAACGTCTTTCCACTTTCTATTCTCACTTTCTCAACTCTTTTTCCTTTCACATCCATTAATTCTGGCGTTAACAATGCCCGACAGAAATCATACAGTGCGTAATTAAATGGGATATGTCGCAAAACGGGAGTTTGTGAAGTAACGTACTATTATAGAGTTCACTTTGGACTCGTCCGTATTGAGTTAAGAACACTTTCTGATAGTCCTGTAGCGATAAGTCTTTCTGAGTTGTATTCTGTCTGAAAAATAATACGTTTGTAATTTGTCATCCAAATAAATTATCAGTGTCATTCATTTAATAGGAACGGCAGATTACATGCACAAATACATCGAATTTAGTCGTTGTGAAAAGATATGTTGATCGAAAACTCCTTTTACAGGTGTATCCCGATTTGCTTATCTTGTGAGATATACGCGATTTTCGTATTATTTTATTTTTTCCTGATGTATTTAATGGAGTTTTTAATTTCTTACTTCATATACAGTCAAGTAATATGATGATACTTGAAACGGGCGTAGAAGTAGGTAGGTGGTCGTGGACTAATTTTGGATACAGTCACGCTATCTCTTTGGAGAGGCTGAGGATAAACGTGGAAACTCTCCTTCAGGATAGTCCGTCTCCGAACCGAGATTTTAATCTGAATATGAAGCAGGAGAACTAATTTCTCGAAGACGACGTTCTGTCAAACACGGCAGGTGCTTGGCAGACTTTGTCGTCGTAATTACATTATATCGCCGGTTTCTGGGTTCACGAAATGGAACACAACTTTTGTAAAGTTCTCACAAACCAGGTTTCTCCAAAAAATCGAATAAACATTGCTATTCAGTTTACGCTTGAATTCAAGTCTGAAATGATAATTTTGCTAAATTAATTGCAGTGTAAAATATCGGTACGTTCTGGGTAAGCAATAATACTTAGGTTGCAGTTTCTCGACTTATGTCCTTTTACCCTGCCACCTGCGATCAATATCAACATTTAATTCGAATTTTTCTAATTCATTTTACATTTACGTATTTTGTATTGTAATGTGAATTCTCGGTAAATCGAAAGATTTTTCTTTAATTTTCTAAATATTCCAATACATTTTTGTATCTGAATTATTGCACAGATATGTAGAATCTAATTTGGTAGGTGAATATGTAGTTTATGTTAATTTATTGCAGTGAAATACTTATGTTATAGAGTTATGTTTCAAATACTCATTCTGGAAGAATCCGTCATTATTTGGTAGCTGTAATTCATTTGAACGATCATATTAAATGTAAATGTGGCCGTGTTTAGTTTTATATTGCACATGCAGTCATTTATGCATTATATGCATGATGTGGTTAAGAGTGTGAGGTAAAATGTAACTTTTAATTAGTGATTAGTCAAAATTATTCCACGCCAGACATTTGCTCAAATTACATATTTAACCGTGCTGAAATATTGGCATTTGTTTATATCGTTCTGTATTTAAATACTTAAGTATATTTGAAGCAGTTGCAATTTTTTGTGTTATCGGTTTCATATATGTGTTAACTGTTGATTAAAAGATTTTGCAATTGAATATTTGGTTTGTGTATATAAGTTCACCAACAAATGCACTATTAATTTATGTCATCACGCGTGACCTTGCTGAGTAGTCAAGAATGAATTGTGAAGTAGCTTTCATTTGTTTATGTCTAGCAGCATTTCGCGCTATGATTTTGTTACTATTTTTAGTCTAATACTTACATTTTCATGAACAAGCATCAGTCTTGAAATTAAGATGAGTATCCTGTGGTACTTACCATGGAAGGAATAGTACAAATTGCAGAAATATTCACAATTCAGTAGCCGTGAAACAAATGTCTGCAGAATACAACATGGCCACCTGGTGCAACTTAACTGCCATCTACCGGTTTCTGAAGTCTATTTTGTATTTTGTCCTGGGATCAATAGTATATGACTGCTGCAGAATCGGCGCGGCGCGGCGGGAGTTGCCGAGAAAAGCGATTGGTTGACTGAGCTGCGGAAGAAAATTTCTCATTACTTCCTTGTCTTGTAACCTGAAGACGGAAAAGCTGCTTTGCTTCTCGGAGGATGTTGTATCTTTCAGCGCCAGAAAGTACAAGTGTTTGCTATTTTTCACGGTCGCCTTTCCTAGCTTAGCGACTGACGTAATAAATGTCCATAAAGTAATTTATGCGACGTAAATTACAACGTTGTGAAGAGTCGAACTAAATACAGGACCATTCACATATTATCACGTTATTTTGTCTTAAATGTTATTATAACATTCCACCAATGCTCGTCGCCACATTTTACTTTGTCTTTCGCTTTTGAATTATTAGGATACTACAGGACCTTCTATTAATATTATAAGTTAAATGATTTTATGTGTTTATATTTTCTAAACTATTAACGGATAGCAATTAGTTTATTTTTCATATTGAAGATTCAGAATTAAAATTTTCGTGATGAGCAGGTGGACAAACGTAATTTTCCTGTTATTAAATTTCGTCAGTCTTCAGTAACAAATTTCAGTAATCTTGAAAACGACTTTCGAGTTTCAAAATCAGTTGGAAGAAATTATGGCACACGCTGTAATCTTTGTAAATTGTTTTTTATGGTGCATTTTAAAGAGGTTTCTGTAATTTTAATTCTTTTTAATGGTTATTACTCCATTTCAGGCTGCTTGCTTTGTAGCTTCATTAAAAAAAAATATGCGCGGTTAAGGTCGTTCTTGTTTAGTAACCAGTAGTTTGTATACTGTATTGTCAGTAGTACTGATTCTTGAGTAAATTTACACCTAGTTTAAGCCTCTAAAGAGACTGGGTTTGGGCTTTTGATCAGACCAGGTTAGCTCAGTGGTAGAGTACTTGTCTTCAGCTTTGCCACTGTTCTTGCTGAAAGCTGTGTTTCCCCGTCTCTCCAGGAGAATGCTTGGATAGCTCCTCATGAATGGTCCGTGGTCTCTTATTTCCACGTTCTTAACCACCTTTCATGAGCACCTACTTAACTTGCGCTCTGTGCATTGAGGCGTGAAATGAAGGCGTTGTGGGAAGTTGGAATGAATCTCTCCGCGTCTTGTATCTCCAAAAATGCTGAATGATTTTCGATAAAGTTTGGTGTTTGGGGTTGTAGACAAAAAACTGTTGGAAACGTTTTT